GCAAACCTTTACGACACGACTCCCTGTTGTTTAGTCTTCTTAAAATATTCTAATCGGACTATAAATACAAACAAAACCTCAAATGCTCTGTTGAACTTTTGACATGTGCAGATTCCTATGTTTAAAAGATTTGACTCCTTTTAGAATTTACCGCATTTTACATATTTAGAAAAATATATAGCTATTTCCTAAAAAGTTGTTAGAGCGTATTGACGAATACACGAAGAAAGTTAAAATGTAGGTATTCAGTTTTCGATGGGAAATCCCGCTTATCTGTGGAAAACCACTTATAAAACGAAACCAAACATTATCGAATGGAAACAAAATAATTTATGCCTCTCATGAGTCAATAGATGTCTATAATTCATACCCACAGTGCCTTTCGGTCGTGCATTCGATCTGCTCTGTGACAACCTTTTCGAAATATGGATTATATAAGAGCTTGAATTTACACGTTATTTTTTGATGGTGGGGTTTGGGGAAAAATATATCGTTTTTTTTTTGTTTTGTTTTGTTCAGTTTGGTTGTTCTTTTTTATCTAAGTACTATACAATACTATTTTTTTCTTAGGCTTCCCTAGATTTTATAAAGGTTTTCCTTTTTCATTTTAGTTTGGAAATAAGTCCTGAAGATTACTGCGAACTTCCCCAAGATGTAAGTGTATGTTATTATGATAGATAAATTATCTCAAAATCATGCAGTACCGTGTATTCAGGAAAGAAAACAATGGGRAAACCATTAAAACGCTCATTCTAACGTTTTCTCTTTTCTTTCCTTTCTTTGGTCAAGATTCAAAATCTTTTCAATGAGGCCCAGTTCCTTTATTACCGCCAGAGAAATTTCATCGGAACCATCAAACGCTGTGATTTKCTGCTGCAAAATGCACAGCTGAATGAACATGGTCTCCTTATTCTTAAGCTGATGTTTCTAATATCGAAGTGCCACCTGGAAATGGTAAGGTTAAAATATAACTAGTGTAGCCACGGTGAATACAATTATTAGATTGTTATTTTTTTCGTAGTAATCATTGATAGTGATTAATCATTATCATAACTTCACTTTTTGTCCCAAACATTTTTCAAGTTGCTTGAATTTATATTTCAGGACGAATTCATCGCCGCAAAATACTTTCTTGATAAGAGTAAGTTGAAAGAATAATACACCAATCTTGTGCAGTGTACCGGACAAAAGTCTTCTAGGGTCACGTCTAAAATGGSTCAAATATGTCAGTAGARTGTCATGGCAAAACTTTTTCATGTTTTTGCTTTTGTGTYAATAGCATACCAGCTTATTCTCWGCATTTGCCCCGAGAGAATCCACGAGCTTGATCCGTTCCTTATCGAAATAGAAGAACGCCAAGGCAACATTGTTGGAGCTATTGTTTTATCAATATTGTTTAAGAAACTCAATTGCACGGTAAAAAATATATTCATTACTTTCTCCTTCTTCTCTTCATTTCCCATCGTTTTATCTTTCTTTTCCCATTGTTTTCCTTCCGTTTCTCTCTCTGATCTTTCTTCTTTTTTCTTACCCTTTGTTATTTCCCGCTAATCTTGCTCGTTTCACCTTTTTTTTAAATCTCGTCCAATCCTTCAAATTTGCACCAACCTTTCTTATTACTGGGATTAATGCAATGTTTTCATGAATTCTAGGAAACTGTACAMAAATTAAACRATCTCAAGGCAAAGCTTGAATGCAGCATGTCCGAGGTTCGCACAAATCACTGATACTGCGTTTTTATTCCAGAATTATAGTTTACCTTTTGTGTGTCTATCTAATTTTTATTTTTCCATCCATGCAAAAATTCATCATTTCTTTCCATCTATTTGTTTTTGTATCCATTCATACAATGTTTATATGCACAATTATGTATATTTTACCAATCTTTAATATATTCAACAGGAGGATATCATCAATAGAGTTTTTCATCCTCTGTTTGAGACAGCCAAAGTATACCTTAACGATGGTGAACCTAGCTTAGCAGTAGCGATATTCGACGAACTCATGCAAATATTATCTACCTTGCATTGCAATGAATCATTCAAAAGTCGGTTGATGAACCGAGTTAGACTGAATCGTAAAGTGGTGAGATTTGCTCCTTTTCTCTGTATTTTGTTTGTTTTTTGACATACGTTTTTGCGTTTGCCATTTTATTCATAATCAATAAAAGATTTTGTAATTTTTATATTTTCATAGGCAAAATCAAAGTCCTCACATTTTCAAAATAACGCAACGCATTATACTAGTCCCAGTACTTCAGAGGCATCGTGGGAGGGCCTACCGCCACCGCCCGCACCGGATATCAATGATGATCCTGATGATTTTGAACCACAATCAAATATATGTGTAGCGCAGGGTAGTTTTGTCCGAGGAGCACATTTCCTGGACCAATGGATGTCTGGAAATACGCATACACATGATAATAAGTCATCTGATGAAGGAGGATTGTGTAAGGAGCGAGGTTCTAAAAGTGAGCAAGCACAATCACTTCCTAAGACGGTTCATGGAAACTCCGTACGGGATGCCCGCAATGTTTATGAAAATGAGGTGCAAGGAAATACAATTAAAAAACCAGGGACAAGTCATTTTGCTACTTCACACTCCAAAGTTAAGACCGACCATTGTGATATACAACGCCAATCTTTGCCTCTTTCAGCAAATGAGATTCAAAATAGTGCTAACAATCAAACGAGGAGCTATTYTTCTATTTTATCCGTAAATGAAAAAAAGGATGAAAAATCGTCTCCATCTTCGGAAAATGAACGTAATGATGCTAGTAGATCTGATATTTTTCATTCTGGCACTTCACCAGTAAATGTACAACCAGCGTTTTATCCTGAATTAGGATCACAAAGTATCCATTCTAGCAATGTTGTAAAGACTCCTGTTTTGAAGCCTTTAATTCGCCGAGAAAGTCAATCCGGACAAGACTCTAGAACTACCAGAATAGAAGGAATAGAAGGAATAGGCAGCTCCAAGACTCAACCCATGATGCATGCATCATCCTTGAAATCAATGTCACTTGAAATCAATGCCACTTCACAACGTCCCTGCAATATTGAAGCCGCGATCAAGACTTCTAGAGATGGAGAAAGGGGTACACGCTCTACTCAATGTGACGGATCRTTAGAAATTCAGGCGGATTTGCTTAGTCAGAACAAGTTCATCGCACTTTCAGCAGAAAAATCATCAAGGGAAGAGGAAGACAACAGCGAAAGCTYTGAAGACGATCATTATTCTGAATTAAGTACTCAAAATGAAAGCATGAGCGAGGGTAACGCAGAAAGCATGTCAGAAACGTCCGAGGTGCCGTCTACGAATGAAACTCCATTTTGTACTGTCACAAGAAAAAAGAGAACTAAACGCAAAGTGAGTTTACCCGATGGAGTAGACGTCATCTGTGAGCATTTCCAAGCCAAGCCATCGAATCCAAGGAAAGTTTGTAAGGGCTGTGARTCTAGATGCTTCTTTGCTTTTATCAGCCAAGTGTCTAATAGGTGGGAAAAGGTTCGACCGTATCCGAACCACTTGWACAAAGTAATTGAGCTTCACAACTGCTTTGGTTATATGCAAGGAAAGCCRTGTAACAGAGACTGTAGTCATCCTCATGGACCGGCCGAAATGGAAGTCTGGAATTTGGAACGCCAAGGAGGTAAATAAATGCTTTAACCATTTAATAGAGATGACTTCCTCTATTAACTATGTATGCTCAGTTAAATGCACAGATCTGTACCAAATAAACCAACCAATCAGCTACTCAATCAGCCAACTAATGAATCATATGGTTAGAAAACAAGCAAACACACTCAGAAAATCAAGAAAGTAATCAAGCAAACGAGTAAACATACAAACATACAAACAACCAGACAACCACGCAAAATTGAAAAAGCAAACACAACGCAAATTACGAGCTTGCAGCCAGGAAACGTTTATATTTTAAACTTTTTTAACATCTATTTCTTTATTTTATCTTTTATACATTTTATTATTTCATATGAATTATTAACTAATTATTCTCATTTAAAGGGCTTCCTTCTCCGGAAAGGTGTTTGAGGGACTTAGATACAAGAGAAGCGTCATCGAAAACCAGGAAAAAACGTCCCAGAAAAAAACGAAGAGATGAGAAAAMAGCCGACGCCCCGCCCCAGCAGCTCTTAGAAAACTTGCCAGCATCAGTTGTATCGCGTGGTGCATCTCAGAAAACACTCAATCAACCCCAACCGTCCTCGCAGCAAAAACCTCCTCAAGCCCCAAATATTTGTTATTTGCCTAAAGGTGTATCGTTAGTGTGCCGTCACTTCATGKCTCACTACGGACAAGTTCCAATAGGARTCCCTCAAAGAAGAAACGTGTGCAAACGTTGTAACGCATCTCAAGCATRTAATGATGTTAGATATGCGTTTTGGAGTGCAAAGTTCTCACGATGGTTCTTGATCCGAAGCCGTCCCACCAATGTGCAACCTAACACAGCCTTCCAAAATTGCAAACAATTCATACGAGGTGTCAAGTGTGGCAAAGATCCTTGCACCTTTGGACATGGACCTGAAACTATGGTGTGGACCATGGAGCGAGAAGGAGGTAGTATGGAAAACATTCCCCTTTTTAGTGAGAATTGCTTGAGCCCTCTTTTATTGCTAGCGCTTTGAATACTTCGTGTGTTTTTGTCTTGATCTCAGAGTTTAGTCTCCTTTTTCAAGTCATAACTTCTGAATGTGATATTCCAGTTTTAGTTCCTCCCCCTAAAGCTTTTTATTGTGACATAATGGACGAGTCTTTGGAAGGAAGAAGTATGATGCGACCTTTGCCACCAACAGTTGGAAATTTCAAACTTTGTCAGAGGTACGAATTGCCCTGGGGGGCATAGGAAAAGTTTGACTGCTCTCCACTGGTCTAAGTGTTTCCTGACCTTTCCTGTCAATCCCCAATTGCTCCCGACTTTAAAATGATTGTGTTTGATTAAGTATCCTCTCAATTTTTTTTCAGAATCTGTTTTGTATTGATTTTCGTATTTTTTGGACRTAAATCATTAATATTGATATTGCCAATTGTAATCTTTGTAAATTTGATATGCTGTATAGCGTTCAATCAAAGACTACCTGTCGTTATGGTCGGTGCTGCCGAAACGCTCACAGTAATGAAGAACTCATTCATTGGCAAGAATTACATAAAGAAAAAGTAAATTCCAGACAACAGGAGGCTCACCTTCATCAACAGCAGCAACAACAACCAAGGCAAAGTACTCAAGATGTTGACGTACGAGGTCCACGGCATGACCTTTACGAGGTAATAGTCAGGTCTAGAGCGCTGGCCATAAGGCTCAAAAGTCGACCTCACATATGTAGGCAGGTCTAGAGAAGTGATCATATGTTATCGCTGTTGCAGCTGCTGATGCTGTGATGTGATAGTCATTGTTATTATTATTATTATTATAGGATATGCATATGAACAAAGAACATGAACAGCTGAAGAAGAGAACGCAAACTATGAAGAAAACGGTAAATGAAGTATTATCATCATCAAAAATTATGATAATCTATATAATTTAGTGTTTTATGTCGCTGGATTTGTAATTTTAGGATAATCTTCCTGGAGTGATAATTTGGAGTGAACCAAAGAATCCTAACATCACTCTTACTGAAACAGGAGACRCCCACCAGCATCAATGGACATTCTGTATTCGTTACAAGGTAATTTTCTTTAGTTCTAGTGTGCAGTCCTTTTTTTCTAGTACAATTCCATGGTGTGTCGCCTTGACGATGTACAGCTCTTACAGCTGACGGTACAAGAACGTTAAAAAGGGCAAGCTTTTTTGTCAACAAGGTGTTATCTTAGCCACTTATGCATTCTACATACTAAAATGATTGTTGTTGTCTTCTAGATGGAGAACGAGTTGGGACTACCAAACGTTATTCTAGGAGAGCGCCACAGTGGATACTTCAGTATAAAGTCTGTATCAATAGATGAAGTCATGTCAAAACAACCACGTACGAAACGCCTTAAAGATAGAACACTGCATTTCATCCCTCCTAAATTAGATTGCCTTAAGGGTCGTGACGTCGAAATGAAGGTTGTGGTTGAGTTTCSTTCAGGTGTGTTCGGCAGTTTTGCACAGAGCTTGCTCTTTGATTTTGGTAAGGATCCATGTTTGATCAAAGAGTTCAACATCGACGTCCTCCTTCAAGGAATGGATGAAACTTTACGGCAATTAACCTCAGTAAGAGAAGAATTATCCCAAGTTACCGACGAGAATAAAATCGACGAGAATAAAATCGTGCGAATGGTGGAAAATGAAGAGGAAAGCAAGTTATTCGCCCGCTATAGGTTACCGAAGRATGTAGAGAGAATTGTTTCAGCTCAAATGGTAGACAAACATGGTACAATTACACCGGACCACTACGTGCAGGTGATGCATCAGTTGCTTTATGCTGAAGAAGCTCACATGAGGAGTCTTCTTTCYAGGTAAGTACGCACAACTATTGGTAACTCAACAATCATTGKCGGGCTCAAAATCATTGGACATAGAAATGGGAACCGAAGGGATAACGTTCAAACGGCAGAAAAGATCACGTAACATGATCGTTACAGTTTCAACGCGAGAGTGCCGTTATTTTGGAGTTGCCATAATCTTGWAAAGYCKCTCTTTCAAATGACTACCAAAAGCACAAGTTCATTGGTTCAGTTCTGCCGTGAACGTGGTGCTTATTATTTATTTCTTTAAAGAGCTTTTATTATCATCGATATTCCCCTATTAATGCTAATTTTCGATTGTTTTATGGCAGGTTGATTCCATCTGACGCAAAGATCAAAGTCACAAAGTCTTATTKGGATGAGTCACGAGGGTTAACCACAGCAGTAAATGGAGATTTCTTTGGGACAATCGAACTKCAGACAAAGATTACTCCTGATGATATGCCAGGAAGAATTTGTACACGAAAAGTCAATTCCGTGCTGATTCAACCTCGTGTTGGCCAMAGTAACTTATACGAAGCTCCCATTGAAGTGCTAAAAGATGACCGGGTCATTGTAAGACTGTTTCCAAGACTTTGCCAGGATTTGAAGGTGAAGTAAAGGAATGATATACKTACGCTTTAGAAACTTCARAGGTGTTTTTAAGAAGGAGGTAATCTGTGAGACGATTATAAGATAAATTTTATCTTTTTTCCWCACAAAGATTAAACAAGAAAGCCAGGAACTTGATGYTAATATGTGGTTCAACCTAAACCGTACGATTCTGTGTAGAATGCATAGAGCCTTAGATAGTCTCACTGAAACTCACAAGCGACTATTATTTCCAGTAAGACAGACCATAATACGACAGAAGGTAAATAATATACACAGTGATTGTATCAGTTTGGCCGTCTACATGATATCAGCCTCTCACTGACCTGGATACCGCGCTTCGCTGTTGGTAGGATGCTCGGATAGTGTGGCAATCACTTAGTAATAAAAGTTTAAAAGAAAATCTTTTTTTATTTATGATTTTGACAGGAGAATGTTCCACCATGGCTGATTKATCTTGATGGACGGTTAAATGAATATCAATTGCAAGTTATAAAGTCCATTACAGAAATACAATCACCGTCTGCACCTTTGGTTATTTTCGGTCCATTTGGAACAGGCAAGACGCTAACTCTCAATCAAGCCATTTTGCATCTTGTCACAAAACAAAGCAACCGAATTCTTGTTTGCACACATACCAACTCCGCGGCGGACATTCACGTCGAGTTGTTGGACGAGCACATTAAGAATTACAAAATGGCAAGCGCCAAACCACTGCGCTTATACGACCCTGACAGAAAAGTAGCAACAGTTTCACAAGTAACAAGGAAATACTGTCTTATTGATAATGACGCGTTTATGCTACCAACTCGACAAGACATCAACAGACACAAGGTGGTCATCACCACTCTTATAACCGCTGACCTGCTTACAAAWCTCGATGTCCGTCATGGTTTTTTCACTCATATTCTTATCGATGAGGCTGCGCAAGCCTGGGAAACAGAGGCAATTATACCCATTTCATTTGCCGGGCCTAATACGAAAATAGTGTTCACAGGAGATCACCAGCAGGTAAGATGKTTCAATTTTGTTGTCCTTTTAATGCACTGACAACTGTCGACGTACTTAAAGCTCTTTCTCTATCGAGTGCTTTTTTCCAATGCGTTTGTGTTGAAATTTAAAGAACTGGAATTGCCCTATATTGTGGTATGCTGTTCTCTCCTACATTCTCTGGAGCTGGTTTGATGGATGATTTACTGTTGATATCAATTTTAGATGAGTCCAGAGGTAYACACCACGTTTGGTTCTCAATACAGCCTTCGGACATCACTACCCGAAAGACTGTTTCATCATTATAACCAGGAAACAGACATGGTTTTCCAGGATAGTCATCTTATTTTSCTTWATGTYAACTATCGCAGTAATAGCGAGATTTTAAAATTCCCWTCAGACAASTTCTAYGGTGGGAMWATAGTTGCTATGGGTGACGAGGGAAGTCCRCCCCACCCTGACTTTGGGYSTTTGAGGTTTTTTACGTCACGTGGTAGAGATCTTAAGCAGCATGACAATACRTACCTAAATGCCGCTGAAGTCTCGGAAGTGGTGAAAAGAGTTRATGAACTAGTTCAGTCATGGCCGGAGTGTTGGGGCACCAAGAACTTGAAAGAGGTAGCTGTTCTTGCTCCGTACAGATACCAGGTGAGATTGGCCTTGATTCGTGTGTTTGGCCACTTTCTRGTGTGTATTATACCATGATTTAACTATAAGGAGGAATTATCGTCAATAATTAATAATTGTTATAATCGTAAAAAATGGTCCATCTACAAATCAAAATTGAGTGTAGAAAGACCAGGGATTCGTTTAAAACATAACAATAACACATTTGATATTAGGTCCAAGCAATTCGGGGAGAATTGAGGAAAAAAGGCTTGAGAAAAGTTACAGTAGACACAATTCATAACGTACAAGGTATGTGATATTATTTTATCACTCTGACATTCTCGTTGAATCTTATGTTAAAGCTCATTGTTGACGTTTTTTCCAGGAATGGAATTCCGAGCGTTGTTTATAAGCACAGTCCGTACACGTGAATCTGTTAAAGATCTCGAAGAATCTCCCAAGAACTTGTCACTGGAGTTCCTGTCTGACCCAAAGCTACTTGTTACGGCAATTACTCGAGCWAAGTCTTTTGTTGCTGTAGTGGGAGATCCGGTGTCTCTTTGCACACTAGGGGAGTGTCAACTGCTTTGGTTAGATTTCATTCTAAGATGCAGCAATTTAGGTGCGTTTCTTGGAATGGAACTGAACGAACTGTTACGTGAGATAGACGCCTGCACTGCGATTTCCAATAATCTTAATCCAGACGCTGCACCCTTCGTTCCAAGAAATACTTCAGTGACTGAAACSTCTTCCCAAGAGCCATCCATAGGCGAAGAAAAGGAACAAGAATCTGAGGGAAGTTGTGATCGATCCTCAACGTGTTCTGATGCTGATGATGAATTTGAAGAAGAAAACCCATTTGAAGAACTGAAGCTGAAGGTTTATGATCCTCCTAGACACTTCGATAAGATAGTTGAAGCTTTTATCAATAAGGCAAAGGTATCAAAAGATGAAGATTCTTCCTCATCATCTCCTTCTGAAGGAGTGTTACATGACCAATATGCTGTTGATGAGCCAGCAGAGACATCTGAAACAGAGAATAAACCCAACTATCAAGGTCTGAAATCAAGTGATTACGAAATGAAACGAATCAATGGTCGTGAGGAAATTCGACTGATTGCGTTATATCCTCAGATGCCAGTACGCTCACAACATACCTATGACTATACTAACAATTTCAACCAAGACCATCTTTCACCAGAGGTGCTGAAGCAAATGATAGACCGAGAACCACAAAGGTATTTAGTGGGGCAGTTGCGTGTTAGCTTTGAGTCAAAGACGTCCTACATAGAATTTCCAGACAAAAATATGCCCGACATCAAGATTACAGGAGACGTGAGGCAAGCTTTTGATCAGGATACAGTGGTCCTGGACATAACGAAGGTACATCCTGATGTAAAGGATGCRCTTGAAAACGAAAATCTTGATCGGAATGTCGGAATGAACAAGAGCAGTAAATGTGACTGTGTTGTAGGTATGTACCTTATTGTAATATCTCCATACATCTATTCCGTCCATGTACTCTTATAGTCCTAATTATACCATAGTGGCCATTATTGACGATTATTCTCGATTCACAAATTATTTGGTGTCTTTTTTAGGGATACTGAATAACTTGATCAACCCACGAGAGAGACAGTACGTTTGTAAATTTGATGAAAACAATCATAATCTAATGGTTCCGATAAACAAGTCCGTCCCCAAAATTGTAAATCTATCAGATAGATCATCCTTTAAGATACCAGTCTACAAGTACGTGACAAATAACAAGAAGCGGCCCTATAAAGTACAGAGAATGGTCCTTCCGAGAGATGCAAAACGAAATAAGTTCCTGTTTCTTGTTAAGTTTTTGCAGTGGAGAAGCGACTGCCATCTACCTCTTGGAATTGTTTTAAGAACCATTTCACAAGGCGAAGTTGTGAAGGACAGCGCAAGAATAGTCGATGCTGAGCATGGAGTTAGAAGGGCGYGCGGAAACGAAGTTACCAAGGAGACAAAAAAGCATTTTCCTGAAAATTTGAAAATTCCTCCACAAGAAAGGCGGATTCGGGAAAGAGTTAAGAATGCATTCACGATAGATCAAGAAGAATCCAAAGATCTTGATGATGCTGTGTCAGTTGATTGGTTAGAAAAGGGATTCTACAAAATAGGAGTTCATATTGCAGATGTTAGCTACTTTGTGAAGCCTGGAAGTAAAATTGATGAAGATGCCCGAAAAAGAGGGACTACCTATTACCCAGGTATTCCCGACTTTGAAAATGTCCCAATGCTTCCACGCTCTTTGAGTGAAAACCACTGCAGTCTCTTGGAAAAGGAGGACCGTTTAACTCAAACAGTTTATGTCATTGTGGACCGTGATGGGAACATCTTAGAGTTTCCAACAGAGACCAAGAGCACCATAACGCGGTCACGTTGCCGACTAACTTATTCCGAAGCTCAAAATATAATCGAAAGACAGGCGCCTGACAAAGAAATCTCAGAGGAAGATTTAAAATTGCTGACAGACTCGATACCATTGCTTCATTCCCTTGCACAGAATATGCGAAACCGTCGTCTTGGAGCTGTCCGTCATGATGATGGCAAGGTTGATGCTGCTGCACATGAGCTTATTGAGGAAATGATGATTCTTGCAAACTGCGCGGTTGGACGTATTTTAAGTACGAACCAAGAAATGCGATGCCGTACCCCTTACGTTTCACAGCTTGGACCCAAGGTACATAGACTGAATAAATGGGCCACAGATTATGGCAAGTATGCAAAATACCACCCTGTCACGAAAARGCAACTGGAATGTGAAGACATCCAGACTGATGTTCGAGAAATGCTGTTTTCAGAGGGATCAGAGGAAAGAAACATCACGATTTTTAAATCATGTTGGGATGAAATGYTCGAATGTGTTRAAAATGGAGATTATACGATGTTACCGTTCCTAATCGGCCGCCCAGGTTGTTCTCCTCAACTTCAGATGGCAAATCAATCTTTTAGGCGCATTCAATGTCGRTCTGAATAYAAGTGTGCTAAAGACGACGGAGATATTACCCATCATGRTCTAGCAGTRAGTAATTATGTCCATTTCACATCACCGATCAGGCGTTATGTAGATATTGAGATACATCGACGTTTGAAATCAGAAGAAGTAGAGAATGACATCGAAGARRTAGAAACGTTCTGTAGAMGATCCACGTTCATTAAACATAACGCGARGAAATTCSAAAAAGAGTGCAAACGCATTCATTTTGCACATAGTCTGAAGAACCACAAAAAAGGAATGGAAGTCATTGTTGACGAAGTCGACAGACATTCTTTTGTTGTGCATGCAGTAGACACAGAGCAAGATCTCTTTTCCCGAAGCAACAACCGAATCTCCTATCAGGAGTTGTCAGTTTTYGACGAGCCAATGGARCCAGATGCAGTCTCTGGAACAACTTTAACGTGGAGAGTTCGATTTTATATTAGCCCCTCTGAAGAAGAAGGCAGCTCAGATSGAAAGATCAACCGGCCTCAATATAGGGAAAAGAGATTAATGAAAAACCTCTTGCTTTCCGTCGCCCCAGACGACACCAGTGTGCAGCTAGGGTATCAAGTAAAAGGAACAAAATGGTTGCGACTAATCGAAGCTTCTCAAAAGAAGGAAAATTCCACTGAAATACATGATCTTGTAGAAGATATCCGAGAAGATTTACAAGATTTACAAATGAGAAGAGGGGATGCGAAACATGGATCCAGTCTCGCTACAAGTCCATATGTTGTTCAAATGGTCGATGTCGAACCTTTTGATGAAGAAGGTCATTATTATACCGTCACTATGAGTTTGAAGCCATTTGACATCATTCAGGTCCAGTTGTTTTCAAGATTATCGCKTTCAGTACTTATTCCTGACATCCAGCTATTCAARATTTCTTCCAATTTCGACATCTGCGTTGAGCATCGAAGGCTTCCTCGRCWTTGCTTTGCTAAACKTCCTAAGAACYCTGCATCAGAAGGCGCAATATACGATYCTAYTGARAGATACATCCGTTTTTGGAAACCARTACTTGCGATGGAGATAGCCACCCAAGCAGTTTCACAAAACGAGGGTTTCATTCTAAAATCTCACCTCATTAAATGGAGCAAGMRAGATGACGGGGAAATTGAAGGAGAATTCTCTCTGARGRAGTCATACTGCATGGCCAGACAACTTGATTTCAAATTCGGAGATTTGGCTTGTGTGAGAATTCAGAAAGTCCAAGATGAACCGGCTTTGGTTGATGTGACATCTGGTCAAAATACCAAAAYAGCAGCATCTGTAGWGAGCACTAARCGAGCAAGRTCGATTTGGGTCGGCCATTGTGTTATTAGAAAAGTGCCGGACCCGAAAGTGAAATCCCCTGTTAKAAACGTGACGTTAAATGTTGTTAATGCKTCGTTTGAAATGCCAGAACAATTTCTCGATGGCAGAGGTCATGTATGTGACTTGGAAGTCATACAAGTTCCTGTTCCTTTGAGGTAAGTCTTTCTAAAAACGTCTTGCGCACGCCATCAGTCTTTTTAATTCTCAAATTTGTAACTCATACTTCAAGTTAATTTGAATAGTTTAGCCACAAAATAGTGTACAGTGTGAATCCATATAGTTACACTTTAGTGTCAATATGTCAATCATATCATCTGTTCATATGTACATATTATTTATCTAAGACGGATGAGCATGGCCCTCACTTCAAAATTGAAAAAATCTACTGAGTTGGTACAGACCATATGCTGTGGATGGAATGTCASAGAAAGTAAGTTACATAGGGAAATGCATTAGATAATAAATTTAGTATAAATCATTATCATATAATCCAGAAAATGCCCCCTTTTTACTAAACGAYGTTTTTTTATCGGTAGCCAATTTCAAGATTCCTCAAGAAGATCTTTCCCTTGCTAGTCACCACAAACAATCTGGATTTCATCCCTTAAATCATATTCAAAAAGAAGTAGTTCAAAGTGCTCTTAAAAAGTCGTTTTCTTTGATTCAAGGTCCTCCAGGTATGGTCTTGTTTCTTTGAGRTAACATTGTTGCAATACGATTTTTTGTTGTATAAAAGATTTGTACGATTTTGTTTTTCTTCTTGTTTAAAGGAACCGGTAAAACATTCACTGGAGTGCACATTGCGTACTGGTTTACTAAGCAAAACCTTGAATTGGAGGATGAAAATGATACATCAACTGAAGACAAGGAAGCTCCAGAAGACAAAACGGACAAGAAACCTTCCCAAGCTCCTCCCCAAGTTCTGTACTGTGGGCCATCTAACAAATCCGTAGATGTTGTTACAGGTATGTACGTCATTACTCATATTTCAAAGAATATCAACGAAAAGAGGTTTTAAAAAGCAGATTGGGAGTTTGGTCATGATCTCCTTCAATCCTTCAAGTGAATACTTGTTTTTGTATTGGGAAAGGGTAGGTGTCCCCCCCCCTTCAATCCTTCAAGTGAATACTTGTTTTTGTATTGGGAAAGGGTAGGTGTCCCCCCCCCTTCCCCATGGCACTAGCGCTACTAGCATTGTTCGTTTGCTATGAGATTGGATTATACAAACCTCAACGTGCTGTATTTCTATATGAATTACTATTCTATTATCCAGAGTATTTGTTACGCATCCCTGGAATGAAGGAGAAAATACTTCGYGTGTATGGTTCCATGATAGCAGAAACAGAGTATCCTATTCCTAACAAGGTCAATCAACTCAAACCACACGTAAGTGACGATGAGCTGCGAATCCCAGAAGGTGAACTTAAGGAGGTWTCGTTGCATCACATGATTAGACGCCCACCATGTCCCTATGAATCAGATATCAGACAGATGGAGGTTGAGTTCAAGAGAAAGAAAGAAAGAAAAGAAAGACCAAGCGATGAAGAGGTTAAAGAGTACTGTAAGGTGAGCGTTGTAGTTCACTTGTATGTAAAATATCCACCCAATTGACTATTCATAAAATTCCAGTACATGSGTTTGRAAACAATAGAATAAACTAGTAGTTTTCACATAGATTCGTGRCTGTCCCAACGTCTGCACTGACCCGTGTTATAATTCACATAAAAAGTAAACGTATTGCATGTTTTCTATTAGTTCTACCCGTAAGGCCGTGGGTGAGGATTCAGGAATGTGTAGTAAAGCGAATGAAAATTCTTATATGATTCAYATTGAATTAAAACTCTAGTTGATCAGCACAGCAGAAGAATGGGTCGTTGAGAAGATGGGCAAGCAGATCATACTTTGTACTTGTTCAAGATCAGGCAGCAACCTTATCATTGAAAAAGCAAACATCAAGCAATGCATTGTGGATGAAAGTGGGATGTGCAWGGAACCGGAAGTACTTGTTCCATTAACGTCATCCGAAGCTCAACAAATTGTTCTGATTGGTGATCACAAACAACTTCAGCCAATAGTGGCCGATAGAGAGGCATGTAGACTGGGACTAGCTAAATCAATGTTTGAACGCTTACACAAGGAAGCCAAGATGTTGAGAATTCAATATAGGATGGTAAGTGCAGTCAAAAKCATTTCTTGTTTCCTCTGTAGTCAGATCCTAGTATTAGAGGATGGTCTAAGATGAAAGTCAGTAACTGAAAAATGTTAAAATACAAATAGYCCATGCATTTTCAAGATGGCCAAGTAAATACAACTCTACCTGTTGGTACCGACACTATCTCTTGTTCTACACGATATGAAGTAATCATATCACTGATTTCTCTTTCAGCATAAAGCAATTTGTAAATTCCCATCCATACATTTCTATGATGACCAATTGATAACTGACAAGACGGTTGAAGCCCGTTCACCATCGATTGTTGACTTTTGGCCTGCTCCTCGAAATGGACCCATTGTGTTCTGTAACGTAGAAGGAGAGGAAAAATCTTCTGTGGTGGCAACAGCAGAAAGTGGGGCTGAATCAAAGTACAACGAAGAAGAGGCAAATAAAGTAGTAAGTTCTATATATGATTGTACTTTCTGTTTCCTGTGTTTTTGCACAATAAATGTCCATCCAATAAAATCGGGAAACTCTATTGTCAATTCAGGTCATTTATAGTGTTGTTTATTGATAGGTTCAAGTGGCTAAATACCTGGTTAATAAGCATGGTATTAAGAAAACTGATATTGTTGTTTTGACACCGTATCGAGAACAGCGTAAACACATTGCTSACCAGCTCAAAGGTGCTTACGATGAAATCAAAGTGACAACGATCATCAAAAGCCAAGGTATCATAGTTTCGACACTGAATGCCATTCAAATGGTCATGATGTTTGAAGCCCTCTGGTCACATTTGAATCCGCGCTAAAACTTGACATTGCGTAAACACTTTACCTACATGTATTTTGGATTGACCGACCGACCGACCGACCGACCGACCGACCGACCGACCGACCGACCGACCGACCGACCGATTGATTGATTGATTGATTGATTGATTGATTGATTGATTGATGACTCTGCTTTTTAAAATTTGTTGTAATCACTAATAAACAGCAAGTCAAGCCAACTAATGGTTTAAAAAATGATTAATAATTAATTTATCCTATTATACTATTTGACTGGTCAATTAATTGGTTATCTGTCCAGGAAGCGAATGGGACTACGTTATCATATCACTGGTTCGATCTTTACCCCATACCGACATTGACCCCACACCCTCGTCATCATGGTTGTCTGAGCATCTTGGTTTTATACGAGACGAGCATCAAATCAATGTTGCATTAACACGTGCAAAGTATGGTCTTTGTATTATCGGTAAGCCAAATATATTGGAATTATGCCTTATTCTATCTTATAAACGAATTGTTCATGATAAACAGTATCATAAAAAGTGAGAAGCTGTGGGAATGTCCTCTATTTCAAACGTACCAGGGAAAACTCTCTGATAAGCATTGAACAAGCACTACTAAGCATTGAACAAGCACTACTAAGCATTGAACAAGCACTACTACATTCTGCATTGTGGATGAGGTAAAGAAGCTTAGTGATACCAGAAGTACATAATATGTACTTCTGGTGATACTGATAGTTCGCTCTGTATTGAAGTTTTAAAATTCTTTAAAGAAAAAATGGAAATGGGATTTCTTCTCGTCGACCAATACGGCAACTATTGAAATCTTTCGAGGCCTAAAATTGTAGATGAAGATGTGCCTTATTGGTGGTTGAGAAAGAACCGCACTTTCAAATGAACAAAAGTCATTATAAGATATTTTGTTTTTGTTCATTCTCTTATCATTTTGATCGAATTCAAAACGTGATACTCGATGTAACCTACCCCTCATTTTCGATCAATCTACCTTATTTAGATTCTTATAAAAAAGCTTATTCCTGTATTCTTGGACAGGAAACAAAAACTTGATGTCTCTGGACAAAACGTGGTATCCGCTGCTGCAACACTATGAAAAACAAGATTGTATCGTAAACGATTACCACTGGCCAGAAACCAGTCATGAGCGATACCAATGGCCAGAAAAAACAGCCATCGATGATGACAGCAGGAGTTTATGATCATGTGCTTATGGCAAATCTATAAAAAATGACTTATTAAATAATTATACTTTATAATGCACACGCCAATACGATTAGGTTTTACATTATTCTGATGTGGCATCACCTTAACATCACATATGAAAAGATCCTCAACGTCATCAGGTCGTTTCATTCTATTGCTTATTATTTTTATTATTTCTCATTTTTATTATTTCTTATTTATTTTACACCTATCACCTTTTGATTTAAAATAAAGATTAGAAAATCTTGAAGTTAGTTTGCTGCCTCTGGACACAGGGACGTAAAGTTTAAAAGGAATCTATTGATTGGTTTAACAGTTTTAAATGTAAATACATCGTTTATTTCATTTTCTAAAATATTTAGGATACTACGCGCGCATGTGATTGGTCGAAAATCATGTTTGATTACAGTATCAAAACACGCTCGCGCGCGTCAAAAATTTCTTTTATTCTTTTAATTTTAGAAAAGAAATAAAAGACGGAATTCCGTGTTTGATACTCTACCGCTACGCGTCGTNCCAACATCACCATAACACGGCTTTTCTTCCTTCTTCTCTGGTATTTCTTGCTCAGTCTTCACGGGTCTGTGGCGTTTGTCAACGCATCCTTCGCCAACATCACCATAACACGGCTTTTCTTCCTTCTTCTCTGGTATTTCTTGCTCAGTCTTCACGGGTCTGTGGCGTTTGTCAACGCATCCTTCGCCAACATCACCATAACACGGCTTTTCTTCCTTCTTCTCTGGTATTTCTTGCTCAGTCTTCACGGGTCTGTGGCGTTTGTCAACGCATCCTTCGCCAACATCACCATAACACGGCTTTTCTTCCTTCTTTTGTGGTATTTCTTCCTCGCTTTTCACGGGTCTGTGACGTTTGTTAACTGAGCCTGCACCAACATCACCAGTAAACCACGGTCTTGCTTCCTTTTTCCCTGTTTTCACAAAAATATGTAGAATTTTAATCAATTTCTTATGAAAATCTGTTCTGTTACAGTGGCGGAAATGGAACGTCATAACTCAAGCAAGCATACTGATTCTTGTTTACCGATTCTTTTATTAATTATTAATAAATATTAAGTCACGACAAACAAAAGTCTATAGTTGTTTGTGCAGAAAATACTGGAATTGCAAGACATTGGACTTAGTTACCGACCTTCATCATGGAATGAGACGGGCTCCTTTAGAATCTTTGAAAACAATTGCTCGACTTCGGAATTATCTGAAGATGATATGATAATGTAATGATAATCAAAMCATGTTCTAAAATCCCCACGATATATACTATGTAGAATAAACATCAATCTTACCATCAACTGAAGCCGAATAAGTGAAGACAGGAACTGACTTTGAAAGTATGGAAGTGAAAAACACGCTCAAAATGGTGACGAACAATACTCTTAACATCTTTCTTTGCTGTTTTTACGTGACAAAATTGCTGTAATTGAGAAAAATAAGAGATTAATTCCAGAAATGTTTTCCACCGAATATTTCCCGCTGAATCAAAACAGTCCGTTATAAATATATTCAAAGAGTGGCTATTTTGTTGCGTGTTTTGAGCTCGCATTCAGATCTCTGTAGACCGCTTCTTGGCAGCATACTAGACTGTGGCACCAAAAAGTTGAAGGAGGGTTTGGATTACTATCTAGAATTCAGAATTTGTGCTTATAGTTTCCCTTGGCACTATCTCTCCTTGATAATCCTTGTTGCAGGATGCAATCAAATCAATAGGTCATGGATGATTTTCCTTCGTCAGAGAAGCTTCCCACTACAAATGTTCTGGTTGAGCGACATCGACAATATAGTCACGAAAAATAATCCAAATACTTTACTTTCATAAGTGTTTATTTGCACTTTTTGGTCGACAATATTCTCTAGTCACGTTTCTCAGAATGTATAATCTATCATTCAGCCAGCGTCTGCAGCGTATTAACTCGGAAATTTTCAAAATACGAAAGTGATACCGTTAGGGACACAGGCTATATTATTATACGCTTACGGTCAAAGGAGATATCTAAACAAACTGCGATTGGTGTATTATAATGACAAGGAATTTGCAGTAAATAGATAAACTAATATCCGAGAATTCGRAGTTTTATGTTGGTTACAAAAAGGGCGCGCGCGGCAAAACATGATTATAGCTCATTGATGCAGTTGACTTAACGTATTGGGCTCTGGTGGTATGCAAGATTTGAAAAGACATCATCTGACTAACTGAATGATTCTGAAAATTTCAGTCAAAGACAAAAGTTCCAATGATTATTCTTAAGATTAAGTTGTTATTCTCTTGCCCTGAATCCTCTTCAGTTTTTTGGCGCAAAGGGAACGGCCTCTTAAATGAGAGTTTCTTGCCTTGTAATCTAATGCAACAACGAAATGCTGGATKGTCATATATTACTGCTAAATCCACTAACCTGAGATCTGAAGATCCTGGTATTTGCTTTTATGGCGATTTTATGCGATAAAGTCTTGATTCTTGGATCGGCAATTCAGTGATCCTCGCGCTTTGAAGAATGAATTAGCAATTGGTCGAGTGAAAAAGGAGGTGTCTTACAAGTGCAATGAAACGGAACTATTTATAGAATTAATTAAAAGAGCGGGAAAACAAAAGCTGGGGAACAGGGGAAGGGGAGGGGATGCGGGAGAGGAACTTGTCTTGTATTTTAGTTGTTACGTACTCTAGTCGCCTTCTCACAGAAAAAACGTTTATCTTTGCATTAAGATCATTGTTAATTTGTATATATTTGTATATAAGACCCTCGTTTTTCATAGATAGGCGTACAAAGATCTCCATCGCTTTTTTTGCTGTAAGTTTGATCTTTTTTGTTTGATCTCTTTTTCAGTGAGGTTTCATAGATTAGCTCGATGCTATGGAAATTACGTCAAACTTACATGCATAAATAACAAAGATCTTGGCTAATCGATCAAAACTCCAACATTGTTACGCAGCCGCATTTTTTTAATACACGTCGTTCAGTAGTACGTAAGAGTTAGTTACCGAGAACGGAGGTATTACGCTATATACAGCCCGAGGGTAACTAACAAACTTAGTTTTCAATTCACGTGGTTTTCGCAAAAACTGAATAGACTAAATGAATGTTTTCTTAGTTGGGATTCGAACTATAGAATCCTATCCTCTGAGACTTTTTCATGAACTGTTGAAATTGGTTTCCTTTAAGAAAACCTGTTCATGCGAAAGCGAGCARTCGGAATTTGAAYATTGTTATCAAAYATTCTTAACAGTCATTCTGGAAACGATGTCGAACATTGACGATTTGTTTATAGCTCAAAATACTTTTGACATCATTCCTTTGCCGAACTTTGATATTGACGATTTGCTATCGGTTTTGGAACTCCGCATGCCTCTGCCCGCAAATAACGATGACAAAGTCTGCAGATGGGAAACCTTGCATTACTCCTCCAAAACAAACAGGCTTCTGTTCCTTTTTTCACGGGGCATGTTCTCATTCTTCTATGTGGTTTTCTCATCGTTTTCTGACTGTTCGTACACCACTGACGCAATCCTGATATCTTATAGAATTAGGAGCAACTCCCCCTGGCGTTGTTAATCATCCGTGTTTGCGCTATATTCAAATCGATACGCCCATAACGTAATTCAGTGATCCACGCGCGAATGTGGAGGGAAAAAGAGAGGTGGATTGTTAATAGACYCCTATTTAAWATCTTATAACTACACAATCCTTTGCYTGATTTTTGGTTATTTTTACGTCTGTTKCCCAAAATTCAGAGGGTGACAAAACAAAAATCCGATTGATAGTCACTTGACTGAAATGTTAGTTCAAAAGTGGAAGTGAAGTCCTTACATATCCCTTACCTTTTTCCAATTAAATCCCATGGATATTCCAAGGACATTTCTTCCTCGTGTTTCCCCGTTTTTTCGTTCCGTCGTCTCCCACTTTCTTTATTTCTATTAATTTCTCTCACTTTGAGACGACATCAACAGATATTTCGAATTGGATRATAGTATCAATGTTTCGTATCAACTAATAGCATGGGAAAACCACAGAATTGCTAATTTGACTCACCCTCTCCTCCCTACCTCTCATAATATCGCACATACTTCTTTTGTTATTTTAACCAATCATCGCTCACCACGCTGCTTGCGAGCCTCTTGTAAATAAGGTCAGTGGTTATCACCAGTACATACATTGCAAGAACCAAAGTTGTTTTGAATGGCATAATGTCTCCAATATACAGAATTTTCTCATATTTTCTCTTTGTTACACTTAAAATAGATTTTAGAGGTAATCAAAGACAATGCTTGGCTTCTCGTCACTACAATWTGATCTGTGATAATTTCTGTATTTACAGCAGTTGATGGCAAACTTTCAAGTGTTGATGTCCAACGACATCTAGATCAAGGAAAGAGGCTGCTATCTRCAGGACAGTTAAGCGATGCTCTAACACACTACCATGCAGCAGTTGGTAAGAGAATATAGTATATATAATGTCTTATTAATCTTATTTATGAATCTGTTAGAGCCCGTTAAGTCTAACTTGTTACAAGACTCAGTTGATTTAGTTCAAATTGAACAAGTTACCGGCTTTTAGTCAAATATTAAACACAATCTTATGTTAGAATCAAACTGCTTTTAGTACCTGATTATTGCAACAGTTTTTTTGTGAGACATAACTTTCTTCTACATGAACTGTTTGTTTTCAATCAGTGCTTCACGATCATACTGTAGTATCTGAGGCTAATGATATTCACTTGTAATAGTAATTTTTGACAGTCGAGTTAACACTGTTACAAACAGCATTTTGTGGTTTTGAGTACGTTTTTATGATTTCGATTTATGTCAACTTCACATTTTAACCTCAGCTTGATATTGTACTTAAAACAGTAACATTTTTCTCCATGTTAATATATAAAACATATTGAATCACGTTAAATAAGCTCGTATCTTTTATACGTAAAAAGGTACGTTCTTGATATAAAACAGCTTGATATTGCAATATTTTTTAGCTTACAAATAAACGATGAATTAATGTTTATTTGTTAACTATATTGTTTGATTGTATCCCGCATACTTCATATACTCGTAAATCTAATTAGGATAGTCTTCGTCCAATGAACGTCTGCCACCAGTTAGATGTAATCAATAGGCATACTGTCACTAAATTTTTGATTTCAGCAATAGGAAAATAATTTTTTTTACTTTTTCGATTTTAGCTTCAAACTCACTGCATGAAAATCAGGCTGTGTAGAACCTATTTTACAAACCTATTTTATTATAAAGATAATTTGACCWGTTAGTGCATCATATTCCAGACATTTCACAATGAATTGTATGTGTAACATTAGTGAATGGAGTAATTATGCAGCAGTTAACGTGGAACGATGAGATCATTTTATACAAAATATATTTTTTTTCATTTTCATATGTTCATTAGTTTCCCACATTTTTTTCTCATTTTGTTTTTCTTTTTTAGATGGAGATCCAGACAATTTTCTTACACATTTTCAAAGAGCAACAGTATTTATGGCCTTAGGAAGATCTAAGTCTGCACTCCCTGATTTAGATAGAGTTTTAGAATTGAAACCAGAATTTTTTCAGGTAAGCAAAGTCATATAATACAATTTTAATAATGCTATACTACATTTTTTTTTGCTCATATATGTTTAATCTGATAAAGTCTTTTTCATTTGGTAAAAGAGTGTAATATATTCCCTGGAATTGGTGTGAAAAATCTTTATTGGTTTCCCTGTGCCTGACATCTTTAACTTGATAAGAGTTGACAATATGTTTATTTCTAGGCCCGATTACAAAGAGGTAATGTMTTGTTAAAGCAAGGTAGACTGGATGAAGCGCATGCAGATTATGAATCTGTGGTAAGAACTCTGATTAAATATTAGCTTATGGTATTACATGATGATTCATTACCCATGAATAAACTTATTGTTAAATCTATGTATGGGGAGAACAGGAGATTATCAGTTAATTTTGTTAGTAAAACTTGCAGGGCTTTTGAATGTGGTACATTGTTTTTCAAGACTTGTGAATTGAATAATCACCAATGAATTTAATCCTCAATTTTCTTTTAATCTTAGTTGAAATATAGTCCAGAAAATGCTGAAAGTTTACAACAGGTTAGTGTCTTTTCAATATACTT